CTTGTTGGACTGACCCCTTTATCATTATGTGCTGTTCTTCTTTGTGTCTTGTTACTTTCTTTGATGTGAAATCAATTTTTTATGATATATGTATTGTTATTCCTGCTTTTTTCTCCCTATTATTTGTATGAAACGTCTTTTTCCATCCCTTCACTTTCAGTCTGTGTATGTCTTTTTTTTTTTAGTCTGTGTATGTCTTTGGGTCTGAAATGAATCTCTTGTAGGCAGCATATAGATAGGTCTTATTTATTTATCCATTTTGCCACTCTTTGTCCATTGATTGGTATATTCAGTCCATTTACATTTAAAGTAATTATTAATAGGTATGTACTTATTGCCATTTTATTGTTTTCTGGTTGTTTTTGTAGTTCCTCTCTGTGCCTTTCTTCTCTTACATACATGATAGTTTTCTTTAGCATTGTGATTGGATTTCTCTTTTTTAAGTTTTTATGTATCTATTACAGGCTTTAGGTTTGTGGTTACCATAATGTTCATGGATAACTTCCTAACTATATATAACAGTCTATACTAAGTTGATGATTGCTCTATTTAAAACACAATCTAAAAGTACTTAAAAATGTTTTTCCTCCTCCTCCACACTAATTAGATGTTATAATCTGCATTTTTTGTATAGCCCTTGACTGATTTTGCATATAATTGGTTTTACTACTTTTGTTTTAATTTTATACTTGCTTAGTAAGTAATTGGTCTACTACCTTTACTGTGGGTTTATTTTCACTGGTGAAAACTATGAACGCTTAATAACATTTCCATCTCTGGAAGTTCCTGTAACATATTCTGTAATGCCAGTTTACTGGTGGTAAATTCCTTTAGCCTTTGTTTATCTGGGAATTTTTAATCTCCCCTTCAAATTTGAATGATATTCTTGCTGGGTTGAGGCTTCTTGGTTGAAGGTCCTTCTGTTTCAATACCTTAAATATTTTCTGCCACTCACTTCTAGCCTGTAAAGTTTCTGCTGAAAAGTCTGCTGATAGCCTAATGAGATTTCCCTTATAAGTAATCTTTTTTCTCTCTCTGGCTGCTTTCAGTACTCTCTCCTTATCTGTAATCTTTGTCATTTTAATTATGTGTCATGGCATTTTCCTGGGGTTCCTTTTGTTAGGGGCTCTCTGTAGTTCCAGGACCTGGGTATCTATTTCCTTACCCAGACTGGAGAAGTTTTCAGTAATTATTTCTTCAAAAAGACTTTCTACCCTTTGTCTCTCTCTTCTCCTTCTGGTACCCCTATTATGCATATATTATTTCATTTGGAGTTGCCACATGGTGAATGCTTTACTTTTATTACTCCAAATGTGCTTGTGATTGGTAGTGCATTTGTATGTTGTGACTAGTATTTTGTATTTTTGAATTTTCACCTTTTTTTTGAGCATGTACTTCTGTGTGGATCATTTATATAATCAGTACCCTTGTAATTTAAAATAATTACAAAGTATTTGTTTCATTGCCTTATGTGCTTGGGTTTGCCAAGCTCTTTTTTCACCCTGTTTTCTGGACTGGTTTTTACTTTCGTAGGTGGCCTTGTTCGCACTGTTTCTTCTGTATCTAGACTCATAGCTATCAAGCTGCACCCCCCAGATATCAGGGAATACCGCTTTTAGTTCATCCTCACAGAAACTTAAGACTACTCCATCTGTCTCATCTCAAACTCAGTATATTTCCTGTCAGTTGTAAATTGAACGTCTGGGGTAGAAGACCTGCTAAGAAAACCTCTTTCTTGAACCAGAGCTCTCCAGATGTCAAGAGAGAGAGCAGCCTTACAATCTGGTGTATGCTTTTTTGAAAATTATTATTCCTGAGATACCATACTCATAAGTACACACAGGGTAAAGAACCTGCTTTTTGAACTTCTCTCATGCCAAAACAAGGGTTTGGAAGTGCTGTTTTCATAGGTAATATGCCCTCATATTTAGAAAGAAGCAGATCCCAGAGATTATGGGACTTGTTCAAGGTTACCCAGTGACGTCATAGTGCTTCTAAAAACAGAATTCATCCCCCACCCCAGGGATTCCCTAAACATCATTACTACCAAACACTTCTTCTCTGTTGGGCAATGGAGGAGAGAGTTTACTTATCAATGTTTTCCCCAAGGGATGTTTTGAGTTTCTTCTTCCCTGCTCTTCTAAATAACATAGGTAAGGAGGCACTTTTTAAAGGGTCAAGATCATCAGCTCTGACAAGAGCTCTGTGAGAGAAAGAAGAAGGAGAGAATGCCCACAGCTTCAGCGTGTTCTGAACTCATCAGGAATTTTGGATGAGCAGTTTTCTCCCATAACAAATAGAGTATCCTCTGTGAAACTTGACTGAAGCTGTTATTGACCAAGTTGTTGATATATATCAACTTTTCCTGTGGAAATTTTAAACATATGCAGAAGAAGAGAGAATTTCCAGGTACCTGTCACTCAGCTTCTGGAATCACCAACCTATGGCCCATCTTGTCTCATATCTCCTCCAATGTACTCCCTCTCCCCACTGGATTATTTTGACGTTAAACAAGTTTGCAGTTTCTCCTTGTTCTTGAAGCTATTTCCCTTAGATTCTAAGATGTGTGCTCTCATTTAGATTGCTGTTAGCAGTTTTATGGAGCCTGACACTGTCTCTGGCGGGTTTTTTTGTATTGTAGAATGACAGCAATTTTCTGGTTTCAAACTCTGTTCTTTTGTCTCTCCCACTCCCAGAGTCCTATGAACCTGTCCTGTGAACTTTGATCCAAGTGCCTAGACCTCCACTCACCAATTCTCCCAGTTCCTCAACTCTAATGTATGAGGTTAGGACTTTAACTGTGTGCTAAATGACTATATACAGTGACTCACCTGGCATATAGTAGGTGATTAATAAATAATTGTTGATGAATAAATGGATGAATTCCATTTGGCTTTCCACTCACATGAACCTTACAATCAGCTGTTTTAACAGTGTCCCTGGTTCTGTATATCAAGTGAGAAGAAAGTCACCGGAGTCACTTAAGAAGTAGTTTTGGTCCTTGACTCCTTTTGTCTCGCTGGAGGACCTGAATTTTCCTGGCTCCGCCTTCTGGTCTCTCCTGGACAGTTGCATACAGGTGCCTCTGGTGGCAAAGGATTGGGGCTAGAGCCAAGTTTTGCCAAGAGTAAATAGCAAATTGCCTTGGAGTGCCCTAGCCAGTCCAGGCAGGTCTGAGGAGGGAGAGAACCACCTGCTGAAAACAGTTCTGGAAGCACAGCTTCCTGTGTCAGGGGGCAGGGCAGGTGGCCACTGCCAGCGACGTCAGAAGGGCAGGGTTGGGGTCTGTAGCACTGGAAGATGAAGAATACCATGACCACATGGGCCCATAAATGAGCTGCTGGTCACTATGTGGGGATCAGACCCTGTATTAAGAATAGGGATGGGCTCCTTCAGCCCTTAAGATGAAGCAGCCTGGGGTCAGACATAGTCACCATGTAGGCAGGGTGACTACTGAGTTTTATTTTAGCCTCCTGTGAGAGCTGATACAAGGAGGGTGGTGAATGTAGATGGGACTGTTCCCAAAGTTCATGGTCCTTTGTTGGATACATGGCCCCGTCTCCCAACTCTTCAGACCAGTAACAATGCTGTGGAGTTCTGCTTGGATGTTCTGCTAGGGCTATCTTCCACCCTCTGTAAATAAAAGAAATTCCCCACACCTACCTGCCCACTACATCACATTTCTGGTATTTACATATGTTTGTCTTTTCCGCATCACAACTTCCTAGCAAACGGGCTTCCCAGAAAGAGTGGCAGAGTCCAGCCAGCTGCGGGTAACAGGAGGAGGGTTACCGGTGGTCGGGCACTAAAGGCAGCTCCCCTCTTCTCTCACCCCAAGCCCCGAGTTCCAGCGTAACTCCACTTAGAGTTGAGCATGGAAATTAGGTTTTTGTTCCCTTTCAGGACAGAGAGGTAAGCATGTGACTTTCCCCAATACACAAGGAAGGAACCCAACCCAGAACCCCAGGGCATGAAAATGGCCACTGGACTTGGGCAGGTATAACTATGGAACAGTCATTATAAAGAAATGTTTGGAAGAAATTCATTTCTATACCGGGTGCTGGGATTGTAGCTGTGGGCAGAGCCCCGCATTCACATGGGAAAAAGCAGACTGTAAACAAATATGTGCTATGCTGGGGGTGCTGTGTGCAAGGAAGAACAAGCAGGGAAAGGGTTGGGTAGGAGTGTGTTGTTTTAAGTGTGGTGATGGAGGAAAACAATTCTGTTGAGGTGAGGGGACGAGCCCTGTGACGCTGAAGAGTATTCCTGGCAGAGGGACTAAAGAGAGTACAAAGGCCGTGAGACAGGAGCCTGGCTGGTGGGAGGACGGGTGGGGAGGCCTGTGTGGCTGGAGCTGGGTCAGCGAGGAGGCCAGCGCAAGACCGCTCGCCTTGGCAAGGGCTTTGGGTTTCGCTTTGAGGTGGTGGAAAGCCACTGGGGGGGCTGGAGCCCAAAGTAGTGCCAACTGACTTGTTTAAAAAGGCTCGCTCTGGCTGCAGTGTGGGGACTGACCACAGGGAGGCAGGGGTGGAGAAGGGCCCTAGGCTGGAGGACAGAAGCCAGAGGGCGGTGAGGGGCCTCAGGGGCGGCAGTGGAAGTGGGAAGAAAAGGTTGCTTGTAGATATGGTTGAAAAGCGCAGCCAGCAAGGTCTGCCGATGGACTGGATGCTCGGTGTGCGGGAAGGAGAGAGCGGAGGCCACCTCCAAGCGCTCTGGCCTCGGCACTGGACGAATGGCATTGCCCTTGCCTGAGAGGGGCACGACTGGGAGAAGGGCAGGGCCGAGGGGAAATTCACCGGGTCTGCTTCTAACTATTAAGTAAAATACCTTTGGGGTCTCCAAGTGGAGATGTCCACTTCAAATAATAGCAGACATTTCAAATAATAGGCTCCTCAAAGGAATATTAATAATAGCTGTCGCGTTTATCCAGTGCTTTGCAGGCGGAAGCATTCCCGTGCACCTCACCCTCATGACGTAGCTTGTTTTCCTCCATTTTACAGGGGAGGCTGCTGCGATTCTCAAAGGTTCTGCACAAGGCAGCCAGTCTGGATGCTGCCGCACAGGGGAGGACAACGGTCGGTCAGCCTCGCAGAGCAGTAGCCAGTCAACAGAGAGGCCACCGCTTCCCCAAGGCTGTCAGGTAGGAGGCCCTCGCCTCCCAGCCTTGTCCCCGACCCTCCCAGAGAGGAGCGGGTAGGGCGCGGTGGAGGGTGGGCCACGTGCCGCCCCCCCACAACTCAGACCACTCGGGCCATGGCCACGTCTAGCTTCCCTGGGGGGGAGCAGGGCAAGAACTTTGAGGGGAGCTTGAGATGGATATTTTAAGAATATTTTTATTTATGTAAACATTTAAAATAAATTAAATGGCAGAAGGAGACTATTTCCAAAGGGGCTAAGAACCTATGGCATTCATCATTACGCCTACCCAGTGAGAAAAAGGTATTGACCATGGTGTCACGGAGGGCAGCTACTGAAAAAGATTTAAAAACTCCACATTTCTACAGAATGAGATGCCCCTGTAGTTTCATTTCCTTCCAGGCTTTTTCCATGCATCTTTTTAATATTGTTCAGATCTTACTACCAAGGCAGTTTCGTTGTTTCATAACCACTTTTAATATAAACATTTCTCACGTATTAAGCATTTGTTGTAATCATCATTTTTAAATGGTTGTATAAGAACCAGAACTTTAGGTTTCTTCCACATATTACAGACATCTGTGTGTGTTATAGTTTTTAGGATTACTGTAGCTCCTATTATAGATAGCTCCCTACAAGCAGAATTACTGATTTAAGGACATGAACAAAAAGTTTCTAGACTCTTGATAAATTAAATTCTAACAAATTATTTTCCAAAAAAGTTCTGCCATCAATAAAGGAAAGGAAGAGTGAGCCACGGAACCAAGGTCTTCTGACTCTAAATCTCAGGCGTTTAATTCTGTGCTAGACTTCTGAGCCTCAGTTTTGTTATTTGTGAAATACAGATAGCTGCATCTGTCAGGATCATGACACTCACAGCTGTTTGTGCTCGGTAAGTGGTGGTAGTGATTGTTTTAATGACACAATATTTGTTATTTAAAAGCTGGCAGCAGAACTCCCCTAGGAAATTATCTCTGTTCATCACCCAAACTGGCCCCCACGTTGCCCTGATTAGCTTTTCTCCACAAGCTGATGGCTGGCCAGCTTTCTTCAGTAGCCCCTGCACAGTCTGAAATGGCCCTTCTCTCCATCAGTGACATGAAGGGATCTGTCACTTTGTCACTGGTATTAGGACTTCAAGGGCAAGTTTGCTCATGTTCTCTGTTGTCTGAAACCCCCTACCGCACCCACACCCACCCCCTGACTCCACCGCCCACCAACACACACACGCACACACTCATCCCTACACGTCCAAGTCCTAAGTGTGCTCCAGGGTCACGCTCTAAGGCCACCACCTTCTCAGTCCTGACCAGCATCTCATCCTTCTCCAAACCATCAGAGCCTTTATTTCCCCTCACCTCTCATGTCACATTCTTTCTTGTGGTATAGATATTTGTTTATGTGTATGTCCATGTCCTGTGCTACTCTGTATGCTTAAGCATCAGGAACTAAGTCTTAGCATGCAGCAGCCACCCACAATATGTGTTGAGTCAATCAGTGGCTGCTAAGTGCCAAGCACTGTTCTAGGCATTTGGAATACAGAGATTAATTATCTTTGCATGAACCCATTTGCAAAGAAACTTGATTTCATATGGGGAAGGAGAGCCATAGAAAGATGATGCAAAAGTAGAAATGTCCTGCAGAACAGGAAGATGGTACAGAGGAAGAAACAGTGATGGGTCCTGGGGTCTGCAGTCAGACAGCTCAGGATTCGAGTCTTGGCTCTGTCACTTTCCAGCCGAGTGACAGAGCAATTACTTGACCTCTCTGGGTCTCACTGAGAACAGTTCCTGCCCCATTGGGCTGTTGATGTCTGTAAGGCACCTGACAGTTCATGGCATGCGGTAGAGATGCCGTAATGAAAGCTGTCTCCCTCCCGGAGGGGGCAGGGAAAGCTGTGCAGATGCGGGCCATCTGAGCTGTGCTTCTGAATGAGTTCCTCAGGGAGGCAAGAGAGGAGGACTTGCCCAGATGAGGAAAACTACATGAAGAGCAGTTTATCACCAGCCAAAGAAAAACTGGAAAAAGATCAAACACAGATCCTGCCGCTCATGGGGTTTGAACTCCTGAACATGAGCCAGCTCAGGGCACAGGATTTGACTCAAGAGAAAACCAGGAGTGCCTGTGCAGGAGGGGGGGAGATGTCTGTGACCGTGTGGCCTCCTTTCCTGTGCTGCCACGGGCTTTGGCCTCGCCTGGCGGGTACTGGCCATGGGGCAGGCACCCGAATTAGGGAGGGCAGCAGACCTTCCCTGTAGCAAAATAAGTTAGTTTTCTCTTGTGCCCTTCTTCAGTGATACAAAGGACTTTATTCAGAGGCACCTACCTCCTCACTGCCTTGTTCTCAAAGGAAACTTGTTTTGTAAGGATGGATTAGCCTCTAAGATAAGTATTTGGCATTTCCTCTCTCAGCCATTCGGCAAGACATGCAGATCCAGACATTGACCATTTTACCCTCCCCCTCCACATCCTCAGCGAGAGTCACTTCACAGGGACTAGCAGGCACCCCCCACTCTTGGAGAGGCCCAGAGGAGGGTCGGGCAGGTGGCCACAGTGGGTGAGTTCTGGAGTGCCTGCTGCCAGGTGCTGGGTGCCCAGGCATGATCATGTGAATTGGAAATCCCACCAACTCGCTTCCTCCAAGGGCCAGGAGGGATTCACGAGATGCTGGTGAGTTTTGGGGTGACTTTAGGATGAGTGCTGACTATTGTCACTCAGCCTGAGAGGTATTTCCTCCTGCAAGGGGCCCTGAGCTGCAGCCCTCCTTCCTCCCTGGTGCTTCAGAGCTCAAACCTTCCAGGAAAGCCAGAAAGCAGAGGTAGATAAGCCACCGGAAAGAACCGTCACCGACAGCAACAGCACTCGGCACCGGCCTTGTTCACCGCTCTCCCACTCCGTCCTGCCGGCCCCCTGCCTACCTTCTTCCCCGGGTCCTTCTACCTTCTTCCCGGGTCCTTCTACCTTCTTCCCCGGGTCCTTCTACCTTCTTCCCGGGTCCTTCTACCTTCTTCCCGGGTCCTTCTACCTTCTTCCCCGGTCCTTCTACCTTCTTCCCCGGGTCCTCCTACCTTCTTCCCGGATCCTTCTTGCTCTGCCTCTTCCTCCAAAAGGAGACATGAATGAAGACAAAATGCCCAGAAAACAGGGTGGGTGAACTGGGTGGGCAGGTCCGTTCTGAGCGTTTTAGGCCCTTTGTGTGGGCTCCGAGTGCCTTGGGACAGCTTTGGTTGGGGCGTGTGGCACTGCCCTCTGCATGGATCAATGGACCGATGCGCAGAACAGGAGATGACAAACTCTGGGTGTCAGATCAGTTTCATCCCCATGAACCATGAGCCTGTGGTGGGCTGCGTCCGGAGTCTGGGTGAAACCCAAGCTCTGCAACCAGGAAAGGGCCTGGGGAAGCAAAGAGCAGCCTGTCTTGTAAGTCAGTCAGCAGACTGGCCTGGGGGCCAAATCCAGCCCGCTACCTATTTTTGTACAGCCTATGAGCTAAGAATGGTTTTCAAATTTTTAAGTGGTGGGGAAAAATCAAAAGAAGATTTTGTAACATGTAAAAACTATATAAAATCCAAATTTCAGAGTCCACCAGTGAGGTCTTATGAACATAGCCATGCCCGTAGTTCACTGCTGTCTGGGCCTGGTTGCTCTGGGCCAACGAGTTGAGTAGCTGTGACTGAGACTGTATGGCTTACAAAGCTGAAAATGTTTACCATCTGGCTCCTTACAGTTACCTGTGCGGGTGTAGTCTGGTGGAGGAGAAAATGTAGGGAAACGAAAAGGGGACTTTTAGAGGGTTTCCTAATGTGCTTTACAGATATCAGCCCACGTAATCCTCAGGCACCCATGTGAATAAGAACTGCTGTCCTCACCGGCCACAAGGAAATGGAGACACATCTGCCACAGGCCACCAGCTGGAAAGTGGGGGCCCTGGGATCTGCCTCCAGCCGGCTGGCTCTGGAGACCCCCACGAAGCAGTCACAGCGACCATGACCCTAGGAAGGGGCCGGAGCGGCGCTGCAGAGGGGTCAGAAGAGCGCAGCAGGAGAGGCGGTGGCAGCAAGGGTGAGACCCCGGCACAGAGCGCCAAGGAAGAGCCTGCAGGTGGAGGCTGGCCGTCGTAAAGGCATAATGGGGTGGTAACGAAATGGGCTCGGCCCACTGGTTCAGAGCCTCTGCACTATTTAAAGCTGTTGTTTGAAGCAAGTTGCTTAATTATAAAAATAGTGCCTACCTTTTTGGGCGATTATGAGGACAAATGAATTCTAGTATGAGTAAAGGGCTTAGAAGGCACCTTGGCACTGAGTAAACACTGAATGTGTCATTATGACTACAGTTCCTGTGGTTGGGAATAGGATGTGACTGAGGCTGGCATAAGTAAAGGTCTGATAAATGCAAGCTGAAAGCTCAAGTGGAGACTTGTAGCCCACTAAGGGGCACACAAGCAGGAGTATGGGATTGGAGCCGGGCAAATCCCAGTGAGGCACGCTGCCGTGGAAAGTCAGTTGGTTGTAGCTGACAGGTTCCCTGGTGTGACAGCTCTGCCTGGAGCAAGGCCACCGGGCTGCTGCTGGTGCCAGGAACACCTTCTTGCAGTGGGGCCCAGCTTGGAGCGGGGTACAGATGACCCCAGAGGGCCGATCTAAGTATGAAGTGTGCTTACAGCCTCAGGGAACCCCCTCTGGCACTGACCCTGACCCATCTGTGGTGTGCTTCCTCTGTGTGGGGCAGGCCCTGGTCCTGAGGGTGCAGCAGGGTAACAGCCCGCTCTGAGCCACGCGTGGTAGTGGGGCTTACATGTGGGCAATGGCATGGTCACTGGAGCTTACGAATGAAGGTTCTAAAGCCAGAGGACAGACCTGAGCTCGAGTCCTGGCTTTGCCACTCACTCTGAGGCCCAGTGCAGGATGCAGTGGGGTGCCTCCACCTCTCGGAGCCCATTTGCTCCCCTGCAGGTGGGGGACAGTAATGGAAGCAGCCTCACAGGCTCTGCTGGGAATTAGGCACAGAGAATTCAGCTGATGACTGCCTTAGTTTCCACCGCATGTTTACTGAGGAAACAGGCTCAGAGCTCAGCCCAGGGTTGACACTGAGCAGACGGTGGAGTTGGACAGTCAGGGCTCAGGCTCTTTACCCTTGACCATGACAAGAGAAGTCATTCTGCTTTTATGCACCCATGCTCTGCACAGCTTTTCTCCCCATGGCTTGATGGGCAAGGGTACTCAGGACGATGTGGAGACTGGGGGGCAGGCAGGGGCACCTCCTCTTGCTGCTCAGACCTCCAGGTAAGTAGTGTTTTGGAGGAAGTGCCAGCCAGTTCACTTTGGGATTTCCCATCCGCCATGTGATAGAGACTGTTTCCTACCTGTGGCCCTTACCTGCAAGCCAGCAGCCGAGTCCTCATGGGGCCACTCGCCTATCGGCCCCAATAGCACCGGTGCAGTGAAGAGGGAAGAAGAGAGGCATCCTGGGGTCCCACCCCCCCGCAGGTCTAGGGGTGTAGACCACCTACCCTCCAGGTCCAAAATACTCCATGGCTGAAACACTGGACTCAGGGGAGCAAACAGAGTGATGTACTAACATTTTTAATACAGTCTGATCAGATGGATTCACATCACCAGGTCGCCCTGGGCTTGCTCACGTGTGACACAAGCGAGGTACACAATGTCACCACCTGCCAGCTCTCCTCCCTTCCTGGCTCCCAACAGCATTGAAACTCCCTACCTCCCTGACCAGACTGGCATTTTTTAAATTTTTCATAAAACTATTTCTCCCATAGACTTCAAACAAATCAACTAGCCAAGTTATTTATGGTACATCTAAACAAAGTTTAATACTAACCCTAACGTGTGACTGCGTTTTACAAAGAGCTCTGTATCACCTGGGATAGCTTTCAGTAGCAATTCACTACAACTGGTCCTAAAAAATAATAACAATAATAATAATTAGAGAATTAAAACCCAACAGCAAGTTGAATGGTTAAAATCACATAAGAACTGGAATTTGGGGTAGAGGTGTCCTCAGTAGCTGAGCTTGTCCTAGTAGAAAAATGCTGGCCTCCAGGTCACGGTCATAAAGGCCTGGGGCCCTCCAGGTCAAAGGTCATGCTCAGGGGCCTCTCAAAGGACACTCACCCCATGGTCCGTGGGATGCTGTAGGCATCCAGCTTCCTTAAAAACAGTTGGGCATCAGCATTGTGTAAGTGGGTGGAGACCCTACTGTGGTTTCTTTTGAGGGAGATGAGAAGGGGGAGGGGACCAAAGTCACTGAGGTCCCAGAATGCCATCAGGTTGGGATTTGGGACCAGGGTCACTAAGACAGAGGCATCAGGAGTTCCAGCTTCTGCCCTTTAGAGAAACCAGGACTGGTGTAGCCTTGGAGGCCGATGTAGTGTTTTCTGCCCTTGTCCCATACCAGATCTCACAGATCTTTCTGCAGAAGATCGGGTGAGAATCTATTTCTAAAGACCATAAAAGGTGGCGGGAGTGAGGTGATAGGGCTTGGAGGGGAGGGGTTAGAAACGAATAAAAACCTCTCAGCTACAGAACCCAAGGACATCACTCCCCTCCGCATTCACAGCATGTCTCGGCAATCCCCGATGGTGCTTCTGCGGGGACACGGCATCTGCCTCACTTCCCCTCAGGCCCCATGGGCTGCTGGTCGACCTCAGGATCTACTAAAGACGATGCAAACGCTGACTGGACAATCTGAAACCCAAAGGACTCAAGGAGAGACATGTTCTGCTGGGGAGAGAAAGGTGAGCCGAGGGCGGGACCCAGGTCCCCCAGGGGGCCCCCGAGGGCCCGGACGTGCACCTTCTGGATGTGTTTGTTCAAGTAGGACTTGGAGCGGAAGAAGCTCCCGCACTCAGGGCAGGGGTACTTCTTCTCCCCGTCAGACTCCATCTTGGTTTTGGGGACTGCCATGTCGCAGGAGAAGGAGCCATTGGCGCTCTGCTTCTCTGGAGTCTTCAGGTCACTGGCGTCGGAGAGGTCACCGTAGGAGTCGGAACTCTCAATCGGATCCTGATGTGAGCATTTCTGGCCTTCTAGGAGAAAACAAAACACAGAGGAGAGATGAGGCCAGCCTCTGGAGAGGCCCCCTCCTGGAGGGGTCGTGAGGGGCCAGCTCACAGACCTGTGGAGGGCAGCCGACAGCCAGCCACTGCCCTGGCAGAACCCGCAGAGGTTCGGCTGGTCAGTCTGGGAGTCTGGTGTGCCTACGGGGGTGAGACAGCAGGGCTCGGGGGCTGCCGGCCTCCCTCGCTGTAGATTCTTCACGCAGGTGCATGTGTACCGCTCACCACCACCGCAGTCTGCTTCACGGGAGGGATTCTGCCCAGAACAACGGAAAGACCCCAACTTCTAGGCACTCTCTTGGCTGCCCTTGGGGATAAGATGGCTGTTCTGATGATGCAGTGGCCTCACCTCCACACCAGACTAGCTGCACCCTTGCAAGGCAGAACCAGACCTGTGAGGTCCCCGACCTAGGCAGACCCCATCGATGGTTGAGACAGAAGCCAGTCCTTATCCGAGTGCTGCAAACACAAGCCCTGCCCTTACCGCCTTCCTTCTGCCAAAACTGTTCCAGGGCCTAGCGGCCAGAGCACAGAGATTAAGAGCAACTTTGAACAACTCAGTCGGCCGGCTGCCCCCACACAGGGCTCAGGACAAGCTGGGCCTCGAGACAACCCTCATCACTCCGCTTTGCCTGGGAGACCTCCGCCAATCAGCGGCTTTCCTGCCTGGGTTCAGAGAGCCATGCCGGGAAGGGAGGTCTGTGATGGGAGCATGGAGCATGCCATCTCTGCCGTCTGCCGTCTGCCAAGCAACAACAACTGGAAATACCACAGAACAACCTAATCAACAAGTGAAGGTGGGGCCTCGGGAACTCTGTGCAGACCCAACGGAGTCAGAGGCGTCAGGTAGCTCATGAATCACCATGTATATCACAAACATAGCCAGAGGCCCTGCAGAAGGGGCCAAAACAGCAACCAATCACCCCTATCGAGGGGGAAGCCAGCCCTTGGCTCCCCCTGCCCACAGGGTCGCATGAGAAGAAGGCATTCAGGCGGAGCTCCACACCATTCTCAAAGGGCCACGGGCAATGCTCAGGCCCAGAGTGACTCCTCATGGGGCTCCTCTTCCTGCCCTGGTCCCCGGGTATCCCTGCAGGGCTCCAGACAGTGGGGGCTGGCCAGGGGCAAGGAAGGAGGGCTGGGAAGAGGAGGCGGGGGCTGGATCTCGGCAGTGCCCTAAAGCCTCACTCACTGCCCTGGAGTGAGGTGCCCACTGTGACTTTTGTCCTGGAGGCCACTGCCACACAGATCTCCGAGCCCCTTCCCGCCTCCCCACGCCCGGCCCAGCGCCCCCACAACACAGTCTGCGCAGAGAAGCGAAGTGCAGAGCAAGGGGTCGCTTGCCTTTGTTGCCATAGGTCCTGGCGCAGTGGAACGCTGCTCCCCCATTCGGGATGGGCTCCTGGTGCCTGGAGACCTGGGGAAGGGGAACACCGTGGTGGGTTTTAACATGGACCTTTAAGTAGGAGGCAGAGGAGAAACCTAAACAAGACAAAAGGAGATGAGATCCCGCGGCCAGCAAAGCGACACCTCTCTGCTTCCCCCATGCCTCTGTCCTCTGGCCGCTCTGGCTAGCATTCCCAGGTCAGCTGCACCTAGAAGGGGGCCCCTCCTTGGCTCAAAAATGGCTGCAACCAGGAGCCACCTGGCTGAGGATGGAGGGTGGCAGAGTCCTCAAACTGGCTTCTCTGCAGATCCCATTCGGCAAAGCGGCAGTGGACGGCCCAGGCCAGCCATCTGGAGGGGTGGCCTGAGCTTCTGCTCCTGGGGCCAGACAACAAATGCCCCGAGGCTTGCTTGGCCCCTTAGTAACGAGTGCTTTGAGCAGATGTCCCACAGCCCCAGATCAGCTGTAAGGACAATAGCTAGAAATGTAGTCAGAAAAGTACGCGGGCCTCCAGGGCAGCCCCACAACTCCAGCCAGCAGAATGGCTGCTTAACAGGTAAAGGTAAACTGCACCCCAAGCCAGATGGAGGCAAGAGGCAATCCCAGAGGAATGCCTCCAGGAGCTTCCCTTCTTCTACCTAAGACATGTTCTATCTTGCTAACTTTCTCACCTTCAGAATAACCTGGATTTAGTGTCTGTTGAGCTCTTTTGAAGAACAACAAAAAAAGGAAGTTATGCTAAAGGGCCAGTCATCCCTTATGCATGGTGGTCTTCCTGGTTCAGTTTTGGAGCATTCAGCAGCTTCACAAACGGAAGAAACTCAGAGAATCTTTGTCTTTATTTGTGGGGAGCGGCTCCAGCCCAACCCAGATGCTCCGATCAGTTTGAGGCATGCGGTATCTCAAGCTGGAAAGAGAAGATCTTGGGCCAATTTCCACACCAGCCGTGAGTCTGAGGATATGGAGCCGAGTGGGCCGGTCAGAGAATATTGACTTGGGTTTCGCAGGAAGGAGCCGTGTCACCGAACCCCACCATGCTCAAGGGTCAGAGACGCCTCCAGCGGGAGCTGAGGCTTTTTAGCGTGAGGCCCATTTGAAGCACCAGGGCCCTGATGGTGTCCCTTTAATCCATCTGCTCCAGATCTCGCTGACACATTCTCAAGCACTTTTATTCCCTTTTATAGTTACAGTTACAGGATAACAGTGGGATCCACTCCTCATAGCTCAGAGGCCACAGAGTACTATGTACCGTTTGCACAGGACTTGTTTGAAAATGCCTGACTTGGCATGGCCTTTCAAATGCTGCTGGAACTGTAATAAAGGTTCACCTTCCGCAAGTGATGGTGTGCCAGGGCCCAGCACGTTGCATGTAGTATTGTGCAGAATTCCCCCAACGCCCTATGAGCTGGGAATTATCGGACCTGTTCTCTAGATGGGGACACAAGAGGCTTGGTGGAAGTTAAGTCACAGGTACAGCTAGTAAATGGCAAAGCCTGGACTCCAACCCGGGGACCATGTGCCACCACATGTCATCAACCATTGGGAAGACTCTCTAATGGTCCCTGTGCCTTGGCCCTGACCCTAAAAACATCCCTTCAACTTTTGCAGTAGGTTTCACTATCACCATTTACACTCATACATTTCTCTGCTATATTGGCAAGTTAGAGTGGGAGCCACTGTCAGATGGGGGCCGACCTGTGGGGAACTTCTTTAACAAACATGCCCCTGACAGTGGCAGTTTGTGATTCTGGAGGAAATGATGGACTGAGTGAATTTTCCTTCCTTCCTTTCCTGACTCAGCTACTACAGACCCACCTGGGCCACATGCGGGTGCCCTGCCCTGCCTGGTAGAGTGAGTTGTCCTATGTTGTAACCGAGTGATCTGCTTGGGGCCAATCACAGGGCACTGGCCAGCTTAAAGGGGTCCTAAGAAGGCATTCCTAAGAGGGGGCTGTTGTCAGGGAAGAGAAGGAATAGACAAGGCTAATGGGAAAGAGGACAGGGCCCTGTCCCTGAGGCTGTGCTTCAGCCCCTGGCAACCAGCATAAGATATCAGGACTTTCTGATGACAGGAGGATACCACATTAGAAGGGAATTTTTTTTCTTTGTCTTTTAACCTCGTATAAGGCCTCTGGAGTGGTATGCAGCCCTTTCAGTGGCTTATCAGGGCAGGTCCATTGCAATCAAAAGGGGACAGGGAAGGCGGGAAGGAGCACCAGGAATTAATATATTTACTCCTTGTGGGAAGAACCATGTCAGGGGAATACAGCAGATGCTCTGTGAGAATTTGCTGTGTTCTCCTGAAAAAGTCTGAAAACACATGGCTGGGTCCTCCTGACTTTACCCCAGCTGCAGACCGCACTATCTATAGCAAAAGCACATGGCAGGATGGTAGGAGGGGATCCACAGCTGCCACTTCAAGCCCAGAATTTAAGCACAGAGCCACTCAGCAGCCAAATGTTGGGATAAAACAGAAGATGGGTTATAAGAAGGACACATCTTGGAAGCCAGAAATATTTGGCTGGAATTCTGAACTCACCTGCCCATTCACCACTTATTAACCAAGAACCAAAGAGGCAGTTTGATCCGGGCACCAGAATGATGGAGACACTGGGCGCGCATGTGACCACAACCAAGAGCCACCCTCCGGCACACTCCACAGATGATGAATTTAACACCAAGAGGCTCTGCCCCTCCATTGCATTTTCTTGCCTGGTTTTGCTGCAATCTGCGTTCCAGAAGCAAATCCTCCTTTCCAAGTCCCGCACCCATGCAGGGGTTGGGAACTACTTTCTTCTTCTCTGAACCTTGGTGGGGCCACGCTTGACTGAGCACTGTGGGAGGGGCACTAAGGAGGTTTGCCTCAGCTCAGCCAAGGGGAATGGCAGGCTATCTGAGCCCATGAGCAACGACCTGTTTGCTCCTTTCTGACTGGGAGGAGGGTTCCCCTACCTTTTAAGTGGTAATGTTTGAGCCCAAATGTTACCTCTGTCAAAGGCGGATTCCCTCTTCCTCCTAGGAATAACATATGCATATATACAACCACCCCGCTACAGAGATTTAAAAAGAAAGGAAGACAATGGTGATCACCTACCAAGTTCATCTCTCTTTCCTGCTGATCAACTCAACTGACTTCCTCAAGTTGAAAATGAGGGAACAAGCTTTTCAAGCCATCTGCAAATTATCTTCCCCTACAGACCATATGACTCACATCCTGATCTGTCTCTCAGAGACAAGGTCATCTGCTTCAAGTGAGGGGCTTCATCAGTCAGTCAGGCTGCCTCCCCTCTTTCCCATTCTTCAAGAGCAAGAGCTGTGTGACGATGACTGAAAAGAGGCAGATTTATAGGTAGTTGATTGCTAAGAATTGGGATTGAAGGATCTCAGAGGACATTTACATATTCACCTCATCTGACCAGCTGGCTGATCAGACTTTGCTTGAACCCTTGAAGAGATAAGAACATTCCCGTGTCTGGGCGGCTCCTCCTGGATTCGCAGCCTCGGTGGTGGGCAGGGCAAAGAATGGCTTGGGCAGGAATGACCTTCCACGTGCTGATTCCAGTGGCTCAGTGTCTGTAGTGTCCTCATCCTCTTCCCGGAAAAACTACCTTCTTCTTCCTCTTTTTTTTTTTCCGGGGGGAGTCTCTTTGATTTTGACCAAGAAATGAGCCCAGGAGCAGGCAGAATCCTATTCCCCCTCCTCTGATAAGGACCCAGATTGTTTCTCTTCCTTCTGAGTTCCCAGGCGGGTGGATCAGAGCCCTTCTGTCTTCCTAGGGGAATGGGATTCCCTGCCCCAACTCTGGGACCTCAGGCTGTTAGCCTACCATCCAGACCTTGGCTCGGCTTCTCTGAGAAGAGCTGGGCTCTGGTTTGACTCTCTGGTGCTCCGCCCCAGTCACGTCGCAGCCTGTGGCTGCTGCCCAAGCCCTCTTACCAGCCCAGGAGAAACAAATCCTGACATTCAGTTGTCGGCTTTGCCATATCAACTTTCTCCTGACTTGGTTGACTTTCACTGTGGTTCTTGCGGCTCTCAGCTCTTCTTTCCTCCTGAGCTGGCGCACAGGGGCTGTGGCCCTGGGTCTGCTGTCCCGTTCCTGCCGTAGTCTGTGCACAGGGCCAGGCTCTCCCTCTGAGCATGCTCAGGAGCAACCTTCTCCACTCCCACTGGCTTCTGGTCTCTGATCCCAGTTCTCAGGCTGAGAACTTCAGCCCTGAAAACCTAACCAAACACCTGCAGATGGCATGTTGCATCAGGTTGAGAGTTGTTTGGGATGCTTGTCAGGAAGCCAGGTTAGGATGAAGCAAGATAAGAGCCGGGGCAGCTGCAAGTGAAATGGTCAGCTTCAGCCTGATAACTTCCTGCACGCACAACTCTACTGCTCACTCCCCATGGGACGGCCCAGCCAGAAAGGGCTCTACTGATGTGTCAGAAAACAGGACAGATGCTTAAGTAGCTTTTATTACCACTTCCTGGCTTTCACAGCAGGTTTCCTGGTGGTACACGTATCAACATCCAAGCAGCCTTCAATGCAAACCCCAGGTGTGCAGCCCCAGGGAGGGACCCAGCTCCAGGGCACCAAGGACACCCAGCTGCTCAGCAGTCTCCCTCCACCAGTGACCTCACGGTACATGGACACAGCACAGGCAACCAACAGTTCCAGCCAGGGGCTGAGGGGTGTTGTGCCTGGCCCAAGCCAGTGTCTGTGAGCCGCATCTTTCCTAACACCATTATGAAGTGTAAGGATGGGGCTTCCCCAGTGTGCAGCTCCTTGCGGGGTTCAGAGAGCCTTCACCTACCTTGTTTCCAGGGATCCTCCCAACAACCCTAGGAGGTGGGCAAGGTGGGTGTTCTTAACCCCATTTAAGAGATGAAGAAACTGAGGATTAGAGAAGGGAAGGCAGAGCTCAAGGTCACAGAGGAGGGCAAGGTGGAAGAGGCTGAGACTAAGTCCTGGGTCCCAAGACTCCTGGTTCAGTGCTCAGTCCACTAAGTCACACCCAAGACTTGCAGAAGCACTGGAGCATCGCAGCACACAGGCCTTCCCAGCGTGTCCCCACCTGGCCGAAGCAAGCGCACCACGCAGAGGCATCCTTACGCCCACCACAGACAGCCGCCCGGACCTCCTTTGGCAGAGACGGCGCAAGCCTCCTTCACTGATACTGTGCTTGAAAAAACACAAGCCTCAGGGAGCCCTGGCAGAAGTTTGGGGACAGACCTGACTTCATCCAACACAACGCCGGGGCCACGGAGCCGGGCGCCACCCAGGCTGACGCTGGCCACAAGAAGCACCCGCTGCCTGGAACACCTTGCACTTCCCGCTCAAGGCCACAGCCTGCCTGAGGGTGGGCTCGTTCGCACTACACGCTTTCCACCCCTGTCCATCTCCAGACTCAGCCTTCTTCCCTGGCTGCAAATCTCACATGCCAATAAATCAGCCAGCAAATGCTCTCCAGTAGGACCCCCTTTTCTCCCACGTCTTGGGTCCTAATGACTGTCCCACCAACCTCAGTAGTTCAGTGGCATCTGCAAAATGCATCCATCCTGATGCCTGAGCAGCAGGTGCAAGAGGGGCCCAGGCTTGGGAACAACATTCATTCTTCCTGTCCCCACCTGCTGATCTCCTGGGAACTCTCATTCCAAGACCCCAAGACAGCTAGCTGGGCGATAAAGGTGTTCACCGCTGGGTGGGGCAGGAGGGCCGGCTGTGCAGAGTGGAGCCTGAGGCAGGGGGGTCAAGACGCCCCCTGCCTCCCACACAAACTCAGGCCCACCCCCTGGAAGTGCGGACGCGGCAGGGAGATTACCTCGGTTACAGATGCTGCAGAAGTTGCTGGGCCCCTCGCTGTGTTTCTTCAGGTGGTCTGCCATGTATGCTGCTCGTAGGTACTTCCCACACACCTGGCAGGGCACCTTGTCTTCATGGCAGGCCAGGTGGGAGCGCAGGCGGTCTCGGGTGGCAAAAGAAGCATTGCAGGTCTGGGGGCAGAAAGGAACCGGATGAGGCGACAGCTGGTATTACACCCCTGCCTCCCCACCAAGCACACCGTGAAACAAAGACCGTTCCTGGCCACACACGGACTCCCTGTATAAAGACAGCTTCAGAATATGGCCCAGGCTTTCTCCCCAAGGTGCCAAGTTAGCCGCTCTTATTTTCCATGATGCCCCCTCATGAGGACACCCGAGGTGGAACTGTTGGCTCCAAGGCGCTGCCACAACATGCCCAGGACACGGCACGCTGGGTTCTACACTCCTCCGGAAGGTGAAGATCGGGCATTCGCTCATTCTTGAACATTAAGAATTGACTTCAGGTGCATTGTGGGTAAGTGAGTTCACAGAAGTCACTGGCATTTAAACAGGCCCATCTTCCCGTTCTCCATCTGGGGTCTCCCCTAGTTGCTTTATATTTATGCACTTTATTCAGAAGTGATGTTAGTCTTGGCCACAAGGAAATGGAAAGGCAGGACAAAGCACAGAGACTGCTCTTCATGGTAGTCTCTTGGGTTTGTATGGAAAAAGCAGCCCATGAAATGACAGCGTCAATTCTGCTGGCGTGAGGAGTAGCAGAGAGGAGGGCCATGTAAACTGGTAAGTCAGGCAAGTGCTGACAGTAACAAGGATGGCAATACTTCCCTGCACCGACTGAGCCCTCATGCTCAGCCTTCGAGAAGCACTGGTCTCACACCATCCTTCCTGAGGGCAGCCCTCTGAGGCAGGCTCTGTTATCACCCTCCAAGAGAGTGGCCATAGAAGGCTGTGGCATGAGCACGAACTCACAGCCACATCCCAGGGCAGTGACTTGGGAGCTGAAGGTCAGCCCCAAGCCCCTGGGCATTTCCTACAGCCAAGGGCCTGCCCCAGGCTCAGCCTGATCTCCCCACAACAGCCCTTCCTCAGCTGGGGGTGCACAGGCAGTCAGGGAAGCCCGCAGGAGAGTTCAGTCTAGCGACTTTCAAGTTATTTTGGAACCATGGAGGTGTTCTAGTCAAGTTTGACTCATTTCTTTTCTCTATGTGTGCCTGTTTAGTGCTTTAGAACTCCAAGAGGAAGCAATATTCACCTTTTAAGTGCATTACAGATCTTATATTAACCCACTGACAACCTGCCACCCCATGAATGTGCTAAAATTGAGCTGCTCCTGCTGTCTTTGTTTAACAGAAGCACGTCCTGAGATCCCAAGACCTCAAGGTGTCTGAACACTGTCACCACGTACAAATGTTTGTCTACCTTCCTACTGTACCATCAAAGCAAGAAACAAACGCTCGTGATACGGTGGGCGCTGAAGACGCCATTGCCATGGCCCTGATATCAAGCGTCTGTGCGTCAGGAGAAGCCTTGCCATTCTGTCAGTATCTTTTATGTCATGTTTCAAAGTTGAACAGAACAATTTACACTAATGAAATACTGCTTTTATCTTATTTATATATTGAGTTTATTAATTTGATGAATGAGGGAGCTAGGTTTAGAAAGTGACTGCCCAAAGCACACGACTCCGCTACTACAGAAAGCAGCAGTCTAAAATGCTCGGCACCACCAGGCTGGTACCCTCCAGTCCTCCCGGCTACCCTGAGGTATTCCATCGTCCCTGATTCACAGCTGGGCGGACGCAGGCCCCAGGAGGACAGGGACAGCAGGAGTGTCAGCCAGCCCCAAGCCTGTGCTCTTGCCAGCTCAGACTCAGTAGAGATGGCTTCTGGGGAGTGAAAGGTGCCGACACTTCTTGGCAGTATACTTGGTAGCCAGACTCCCTTGATAGGGAGAGGTGACAGGCTCTATGCAGAAAAACTCAAGGGGCATCTGGCCTCATGGCCACAGGTGGGCCCCAGCTTAAGTCAGGGGCCTCGTGACCCAATCAATCACAGGCCACAGTGAGGGGAAGATCTTTGCGTCTTCCACCCAGCCCGCCGGCCTGTCAGCCAGAACAAGGGGAGCTGCAAACCCCTCAGGGCAGAGAGGTGCACCTGTCATTATCAGGAGATAAGAGCCCCGTGACCCAAGGACCACCCCTCCGATGAGAGGCAGTGTGGTCTGCACCCCCAAACTCAAAGGAACCAAACACGGACCAGGTGTAAGAAAATGCAGCTTAAAGCACACATTCAGGATTCTGTCCTCACAGTCCCTGGGAGAAGTGGATTATCCATTTGAGGGATTAGCTAAGAAAAATTAAAATCCCAGACCAGGCTGACTTCCCCACCCATCCTCCACTGAGTATCTCTCAAGGAATGAAAGCTAACGTTAGCCTGAGCAAATATAATTAGGAATACAAATCTGCTGCTGGGAAAGAAAAATACAAACAGAACAAAAACTTTCGCTGTGTTAGGAAGCCAAGCTGAAGTGATTGTTGAATCCTCTGTGCCAGATTTTCTTGGGTATTTGTGAAAATGTAGGAGTCCAAGTCTAGGCCTACCAGAAGTTCTGATAACACCGCACAGAAAGAGCCAGGTCACACGACCCAGGAGAGGAGGGACACAGAAGAGTGGCTAAGGAAGAGACCTCAGGGAGCACCTGGAACTTCCATGCTGGGGGCCCCCAGTAGAAAGGCACTTCCAGAAGACAGAGGGGCCCTGGTGGGACAAGAGTGAGCCAGCGGTAGCATGCTCTGATCGTGGTGGTGCTCGGAAGGGCTGCCGCCACCCATGGCCCTGTGCGCAGGCAGCCTGCTGCTGTCAGGAGGCATGCGTGCTGGGCCTCAGCCCAGCCACCCTGAGCCTGGGCCGCCTCTGGTCATCACCATTCAAGTGAGTCCCTCTCTCAGTCATTTCTCCCCATCCCAGAGTTCCAAAAGCTGCTCTTCCCAAGAGTTGAGCAGCTCAGGAAGGAGGCCCAAATGGTACCAGGAACACTAGAGCTCACACGACCTTTGGTGGCCTTTGAAGTCTAGCAGCCTGTTCCACAACTCTGGAAAAGCCTTAGGGCAATGCATGGAGGACCAGCTAGATGGCCTCACTGGCCCCCTTCTGCTTGTGGGTGTCAGCTCCCTCGTTGCCACCTCAATTCCTGCCTTCTCTAATGAGCTAAACCTCCAGCCCACACCACCCCAATGAGCCCCTGAGAAGTGGGGCCACTGGAAGCAATGGGAGAAGTCTGAGCTGCTCTAGCCGCTCAGCTTCAGGCTGAACTGAAGGATGTGCAGAGAATGGCCCAGCCCACTGCACTCATGTAGTCAGCAGGCCAGGTGCATCTGGGCCAGGCAAGGACACCCCGGCCAGCCCCAAGGAGACTTGTGTATCACTGCCAAGCCTGAGGCCATGTGGCCCGATGTTCGGATGGCCTTTTCACTCAAACTGCGGCACCAGTCTCTGCAGCTGGACCCTTTTGTTCTCTGTGGCATCAGGACGTGCCAAGAAGGATAGCCCAGGCCCAGCTCTGCCAGAGGCCCAAGGAACCAACTCCCAGAGAGCCGTCTCTTTCCCTCTGATGCTTTCAGAATACACACCATGCAAAACAGATGCCCCTGCTGTTTAACCAAGCCCAGGCACACCTGGCCAGCTCAGCGCATGAGAGCCAGCATGTCTCCACCTGCTGGGTCATCATCAGAGGACCTTTGCCTATGGGGCCAGCAGGTCTGAGAATGTGTGTTTGGAGGAACAGGGTAGGAACAGGCTCGCACACCGAGGGACAATGATGTCAGTGTTATGACACAGACCAAGGACAAAACACACAAAGCCTCAAATGTTAGAATGAAAACTTTTATCATCACTCCTGTTTTCCCCGCGGTGCCTGCGGGGCTAACGGGGACACCACTGGGATCCGAGGAGGGTCTACATCTGCTTCATCAGCCCCCAAAGCCATATATTGGGTGACCCAATATAAAGCCACTGGTTAGTCTAGTTCCTGAGCAGACCTGCTAATAAACCTTAAAAACACAAAAGTCTAATTCACTAGCCAGAAATGAAAGCAGGAGCTGTCTGAGTGGGAAGGGGAGAGGGCAGCCCAGCTGACCCAGTTGGCATTGAACCAAAGTCTCCTGTGGCAGGGGATTCGCTCCCCGAGTAGGGGGAGGGGTGGCCAGGCCCCATTCTAGAAATCCCTCGCCTCAGGGGAGGTGGTACCAGGGGTGGGAAAGCATATAAGCTAGTGGCTTAGCTCTCCAGAAAGCACCAACCTCCAAAATCACTCAGGCAAGGACAAACACCCAGGGGTACCATCTGTTAAAGGGGAAAAAAAGCCAAGAGAACCCAGAAAGAACCTGGAGGCTATGGGGGACCCAGAAAGGAGCTCCTTGCTATCCCCACCTGGGGTCCCTGAGTTCGAAAAGCTCCAAGTCACCCAGGAAGGACCTGGGTGGTGGGCAGGAACCACTCTGCTGGCCTCTCCCCAGAGCAAGGGTCTCAGAGCGACCGCCATTTCCAGCCCCCTCCACAGCAAACCCTCTCGGGGGCCCAGGCTAGCCTACAGGCCACTGGGTAAAGGCCCGGCTGCCCTCTGGGGCAGTCCAGCCCTGCCTCAGATATCCTGGTGGGGCTGAGCAGAAGAGAGCGTTGCTGGAGTGTGCTGGGCCCAGGTTTTCAAGGGCTGGGAATGATTTTTTAAGAGAAAGGGAAAAGGCGGTGTCAGGAACCGAATGGGACGACCTCCACAAAGCAGGCTGGGCAAAGTCCCATGATGGCAGGTCGCTAGGAAGAGATTCCAGGGGCGGCAGGCCGCTGCTGCTCCCAACCCACACCTGGAAAAAGGGCAGAGAGTGCAGGTTACCCCCCCAGGCCACCGGGCACGCCCCCACTGCCCTCTGGGCTCCTCCTACTCTGCCGGCCGCTCAGCGCACTACCTGGGTGAGTCAGAATGTGCTCGGTGATGAGAGGATCAGAGACAGAAGGCAGCGAGGCACAGACGGGTCCCAGCAGGCCCACCTCTGGGGTTGTGGTCCTCCGGGGAGGCCGTCTAGCTGACGGTGTCTGAACACCATCCACACGTGGCCCTCAGGGGCTCCTGCCCACCCTACAGCGCGGCCGTTCCTCCCTACACATCTCCCGGAACCCTCCCTGCTTGCCACCAACAGAGTAAAGAGATGCAGATTGTAGGGAGGTTGTAATGAGCACCCCACAACTCTATTTCCCCATCAGATGGTGGGAACTTGGCACGGGAGAGGGAAGGTAATCAAGGAGAAGACAGAAGCATGTTTTCCACCCACACAGGAATGCTTAGTGGCCAGGAGAGGAAACTCAACTTCCTGGGTGCCACAGGGCCCCCAGATATTGTTCAAGCAGACAAACCAAGGGTGAGAATCTCACCCAGCCTCCCCTACCTACTGTTACACAATGAGCTCAAAGGAGAAAACCACCTTGCTCTCTGGTCCTCAGAAGCCCTGGCTGTTTGCACACGTGGCTCAGGACAGATTAAACATGTGCCACTGCTCAGAGATGAGACCACCTACTTCCCACCTCCTTTGCCCCTGCTCTGCCCACCCCCTCCCCATGCCACTGCCTTGTGCTGAGGGTACCCAGAAACTCAGGCTGCCTGGAGACAAGGGGAAGAGCTGTTGGCTGGACCACCAACAGCCCTTTATGAACCCTTCCCTCCTCATGGTGACCCTTGCAAACTCCTGGGAACCAGAAGCCAGGCCCAGTGGGGTGCCAGTGCCCCCAAGACAACACTTGTGCAATGTGGCCCACCATCCAAGGACCTGGCAAACACCAGGAGAGGAAAGCCAAGCAACAGAGCGAAGACAGACGGGGTGGGAACCAGGACCCAGCAACCAGAAAGGAGGGGACATCAGCGGTTGCGGGGAGGGGGCCAGGGGAAGAACAATTGCCAGAGGCCCAAGGAACCAACTCCCAGAGAGCCGTCTCTTTCCCTCTGATGCTTTCAGAATACACACCATGCAAAACAGATGCCCCTGCTGTTTAACCAAGCCCAGGCACACCTGGCCAGCTCAGCGCATGAGAGCCAGCATGTCTCCACCTGCTGGGTCATCATCAGAGGACCTTTGCCTATGGGGCCAGCAGGTCTGAGAATGTGTGTTTGGAGGAACAGGGTAGGAACAGGCTCGCACACCGAGGGACAATGATGTCAGTGTTATGACACAGACCAAGGACAAAACACACAAAGCCTCAAATGTTAGAATGAAAACTTTTATCATCACTCCTGTTTTCCCCGCGGTGCCTGCGGGGCTAACGGGGACACCACTGGGATCCGAGGAGGGTCTACATCTGCTTCATCAGCCCCCAAAGCCATATATTGGGTGACCCAATATAAAGCCACTGGTTAGTCTAGTTCCTGAGCAGACCTGCTAATAAACCTTAAAAACACAAAAGTCTAATTCACTAGCCAGAAATGAAAGCAGGAGCTGTCTGAGTGGGAAGGGGAGAGGGCAGCCCAGCTGACCCAGTTGGCATTGAACCAAAGTCTCCTGTGGCAGGGGATTCGCTCCCCGAGTAGGGGGAGGGGTGGCCAGGCCCCATTCTAGAAATCCCTCGCCTCAGGGGAGGTAGTACCAGGGGTGGGAAAGCATATAAGCTAGTGGCTTAGCTCTCCAGAAAGCACCAACCTCCAAAATCACTCAGGCAAGGACAAACACCCAGGGGTACCATCTGTTAAAGGGGAAAAAAAGCCAAGAGAACCCAGAAAGAACCTGGAGGCTATGGGGGACCCAGAAAGGAGCTCCTTGCTATCCCCACCTGGGGTCCCTGAGTTCGAAAAGCTCCAAGTCACCCAGGAAGGACCTGGGTGGTGGGCAGGAACCACTCTGCTGGCCTCTCCCCAGAGCAAGGGTCTCAGAGCGACCGCCACTTCCAGCCCCCTCCACAGCAAACCCTCTCGGGGGCCCAGGCTAGCCTACAGGCCACTGGGTAAAGGCCCGGCTGCCCTCTGGGGCAGTCCAGCCCTGCCTCAGATATCCTGGTGGGGCTGAGCAGAAGAGAGCGTTGCTGGAGTGTGCTGGGCCCAGGTTTTCAAGGGCTGGGAATGATTTTTTAAGAGAAAGGGAAAAGGCGGTGTCAGGAACCGAATGGGACGACCTCCACAAAGCAGGCTGGGCAAAGTCCCATGATGGCAGGTCGCTAGGAAGAGATTCCAGGGGCGGCAGGCCGCTGCTGCTCCCAACCCACACCTGGAAAAAGGGCAGAGAGTGCAGGTTACCCCCCCAGGCCACCGGGCACGCCCCCACTGCCCTCTGGGCTCCTCCTACTCTGCCGGCCGCTCAGCGCACTACCTGGGTGAGTCAGAATGTGCTCGGTGATGAGAGGATCAGAGACAGAAGGCAGCGAGGCACAGACGGGTCCCAGCAGGCCCACCTCTGGGGTTGTGGTCCTCCGGGGAGGCCGTCTAGCTGACGGTGTCTGAACACCATCCACACGTGGCCCTCAGGGGCTCCTGCCCACCCTACAGCGCGGCCGTTCCTCCCTACACATCTCCCGGAACCCTCCCTGCTTGCCACCAACAGAGTAAAGAGATGCAGATTGTAGGGAGGTTGTAATGAGCACCCCACAACTCTATTTCCCCATCAGATGGTGGGAACTTGGCACGGGAGAGGGAAGGTAATCAAGGAGAAGACAGAAGCATGTTTTCCACCCACACAGGAATGCTTAGTGGCCAGGAGAGGAAACTCAACTTCCTGGGTGCCACAGGGCCCCCAGATATTGTTCAAGCAGACAAACCAAGGGTGAGAATCTCACCCAGCCTCCCCTACCTACTGTTACACAATGAGCTCAAAGGAGAAAACCACCTTGCTCTCTGGTCCTCAGAAGCCCTGGCTGTTTGCACACGTGGCTCAGGACAGATTAAACATGTGCCACTGCTCAGAGATGAGACCACCTACTTCCCACCTCCTTTGCCCCTGCTCTGCCCACCCCCTCCCCATGCCACTGCCTTGTGCTGAGGGTACCCAGAAACTCAGGCTGCCTGGAGACAAGGGGAAGAGCTGTTGGCTGGACCACCAACAGCCCTTTATGAACCCTTCCCTCCTCATGGTGACCCTTGCAAACTCCTGGGAACCAGAAGCCAGGCCCAGTGGGGTGCCAGTGCCCCCAAGACAACACTTGTGCAATGTGGCCCACCATCCAAGGACCTGGCAAACACCAGGAGAGGAAAGCCAAGCAACAGAGCGAAGACAGACGGGGTGGGAACCAGGACCCAGCAACCAGAAAGGAGGGGACATCAGCGGTAGCGGGGAGGGGGCCAGGGGAAGAACAAAGGAGGAGAGCAGACGGAGGGTGGCGGGGCGGAGGGGGAGGTGTGCAAAGCGGTGGTCAGTCAGCCAGCCCAGCACACACATCAGCGGGCTCATGGCCGCGGCTGTGAGAACAGCATTCTTCAGCCCATCCCTGCTCCGGCCCAGCCCCTACCTGACACTTGTGAGGCCGCTCAGAAGTGTGCACCTGCTTGATATGTCCATTCAAGTGATCGGGCCTGGAAAAGAGACAACCAAGGGAGACTTTAGAACAAGACCTCCAAAGATGGGGCCACCAAACATGGCCACAGCCACCCCCCACACACTGCTGGAGAGGACTCCCTCCCCCCCACCCCAGCTCCCGCTCCGCAGGCCCAGGCCCCCCTGCCCTGGGTTTACCTGGAAGGGAAGGGAGCGTTTGTCTGACCTCGCCTGCCCACTTCCCCCCACCAGAAACTCAGTGATTTCCAGGACCTGAGGAAGTGGCTTTAGAATGAAACAGGGCTGCCTTGCTGCAGCCTTTCCGGGAGGGGGTATGTGTGATGCATTGTCCGGACTAAAGCTCCTTAGAAACTCGGGGTCCCCTCCCCCAGCCTCTCCCGCCATGTCAGCCATGTCAGCCGCTGAATGCCACCCGGATGGAATTCAGTCCCCAGAGGCCAAGGGAGGGAGCCTTAAGTCCCCAGCTGGGCTGATAAACCAGATGCCCGCCAGAGCGGTGGGGGGGGCAGGGGCTGCCTGACCGGTAAAACTGGCTCCTCGCTGGGGCCCCTCTGAGGGAGTTCTCCATCCCTAGGTCCCCACTCACAAGGTCCTCAGTGTCCAGGCAAGTTAAAACCAGCCTTTAATACTGAATATTCCCTCAAGAGGAAAAACAGAACCTTCTGCTCCCAGACAAGTTGTCAGTTCCCTACCAGGCTCACTAAAAAACCAACCTAGTAGGACATCCTGTCCCGCTTCCTTGCCATCCTGAAAGCATAAAGGGGCCGGTCAGGGCAGGTCAAAGATTTTGGTGTTGGTGTTATGAGACTCTGGGTGCCAAGCTCTGAGCCCTGTGATCCCAGGGGGCCGTGAGGGGCAAAGCCTGGCTCCAGCAATCCAGGATCACCAGTGCTGTGGTGGGGGCGCCTGGTGGCGCAGGAGTGTAAGGAGTCCCAGATGCACTTGTTTCAGTGCCTCCCTCGGCAGCCATTCAAGCGAGGAAAGTCGCTGGAGGAGCCCAGCCTCCCGCCCCCAGAGGGGGCCCCACGCCTGGTGCCGGAAACACAAAGGAGCCCAGGGAGAAGAATGGTGAGGCCCAGTGGCTGTGGTCTGAGGAATCCGGCCCCTTCCCACAGGGCCTGCAGGAAGATGGTAGGGCACGCCTATTACCAGAGAACTTCCCGACGGAGGAGAAAGCAGCCCTTGGCCACATCATCTCAAAACCAGGGCCTTTAAAAGTCTCCCCATACCCAACATGGCCCCATAAGGTCAAGTGACCCCCACAAGTCCCACCCTCCCAAGGTCGTGGCAAGGAGCTGTGCCATGGGTCAGGAATAGGACAGATCATAGCGGGGGCACCATTCCTCACCTGGAGAAGCCTTTCCCGCAGCTCTGGCAGATGTAGGGCTTGCCCACCGACCCATCGTGGGACCGCACGTGGTAGGACATGCGATCTTTTCTCTTGAACCGCAGCCCACACACGGGGCAGGAATAGGGTTTCTCCCCCGAGTGGGAAAGCTTGTGCCGATTGAGATGGTACACATCACGGAAGATCTTGCCGCAGATCTCACATGCCACCTGCTTCCTGGTCCGGCTCCTCTTTCGGGGTCCATCAGGGTCCTCAGAGATGGGTAGCCCATTTTCACCCAGCCTCGGAGTTGGAAGGTCGATGTAGCCCAACTGGAGGCTGGTGACACCATGCTGGGCCTCATGCTGCCGAAGCCGGTTGGCATCAGTGAACACCTTCCCACACAGGCCGCATGGAAGGATGCCTGCCTCCCTCAGGCCCCCGGGGGACCCGAACATTGAGTCCAGCAGGTTGGCCTTCCTTGGGCGACCCCGGCCTCGCTTGCCAGTCAGGGGAGGAGCACTAGATGCCACATTGGGGAATGGGGAAGTCAGCAGTTGGGGGGACAGGGGTCCAGCCACCATGGGCAAGCGGTCCACCCCAGGTAACACAGGCAGGGGGGCTTGGCTCGCAATGGCTGCACCAGCCGCCCGGGCTGCTTCCTCCTCGGGCTGCATGCTGCCTGCGATGCCATTGCTGTTGGCTGCCAGAGCTGCCCCGTTGGTCATGTCCAAAGGGAAGCCCAAGTCCGAGGTCCCAGGGGGACGAAAGAGCATGATGTCGGCCCTGGCAGGGGGCACCAGGATCTGCACATTAGACTGTTTGATGACTTCCTGGCAGATCTCAATGACCGACCTCATCAGCAGGAACTTGGCAGCCGTCATGAGCTCGGGGAAGCTCTCCAGGCGAACCACAATGCGGGAAGTGTAGGCGAAGTCCAGGATGTCCCCGAACACCTTGGAGCTGATGGTGTGCATCTCAAGCTCCCGGCTGCCCCCAGCCCCACCGCCTGGGGTCGCCGCCGCGCCCCCCACGTCAGTGGGACCCCCGTCCGCAGCTCCATCGCCCAACTGGGCGCTGAACACCGACTCAAAGTACTCGCTGCAGGCAGCTAGCACGGCGCGGTGCGCTGGAAAGCTCTCGTCGCCCACCCGCAGCAGCACGTCGCAGAAGCGCCCGCCGTTTTTGCGCTGCTGGTTCAGGTTGTGCAGCATCTCCGTGCTGTGCCTGCTCACCTGGTAGGTGTAGCAGCCCGACGGGCCGCAGGAAGCGTCGTTCACCCGCTCCATGGCCGCCGCCCCCTCCCCACAAACAGCGCCGCGACTTGCCCGCCCCCCTCGCTTCCTCTAGGCTGGCAAGAAACAGGGCGCTGTGGACGTCTACACTATCCACACGTGCCGGCCTGGGGCTCTGTAGTCTCGCAGGTGCGCCAAGCGCACACGCCCCCTGCCCGGATCGGACTGTCTAGACAGCAAAGCGCACCACCCCCCACATAGCTACCCCCACTCCTGCTGGATCGCCCGCTCTTCTCTTCTCCTTTCTCGGCCCGCCCGCCTCCCCTTCTGGATCTACCTCCGGGGGGTACGCGAGCAAAGAGGTGCGCCCCTCCTGAAAACGCGCCTACCACCTCCCCTCCCGCCCGCCAGGCGGCGCCGGCGCGCAGCCAAGAGGGGCGCGCGCGCGCGGGGAGAAGTAGGAGGAGGAGGGGTTTGCCGCGCAGGCGCGCGCGCCGCGGCTTTTCCCGGGCCCGCTGGGGGCGCGCGCTGCGTCCCCTGCAAAGCGCGAGCCGGGGCGGGGGCGCCGGAGTGGAGGAAACAAAAGGCGAAGGCAGCGGCGGCGGGGCGCGCACGGGGGCGGCAGCGCGGGCAGGATCCCGGAGCCTGGCGGGCGGTGGCGGCCGCGAAGACTGGAGCGGGCGGGCGGCGGCGGCGGCAGGGTGGGCCCTTCCCGGGACCAGGCGAAGGCGGCTGCAGAGCGGCAGCGCTGCGGCCCCGGCCTCCGTGTGTTCGGAGCGGAGGAAAGATGGCAGCGACTGCACTTCCTCTTGCACTTTCACCCCTGGGGGGAGGAGAAGGAGGGGGCGATACCAACAACACCCCCCCCTCTCGCTTGCAAGAAAAAAAACAAACGGCGAGCTCGGCGTGGGGGCCCCCGGTACCCCCGGCCCTGCACGTGCGCACCTAGATCCCTGGACCCGGCCGCCCGGCGCAGGAAACTTTCCACTTTCTTTGTGCCCAGCGCCCCCCCCCTCACTCAGCCAAGGATGCACGTCCCCCCTTCCCTATTTATACACCCCCCCCTCGCAGCTCCGCTCCCCCCGCTTCCTGCCCCCCCTCCCCATTCCCCAGCTCCGCCAATGCTGGCGCAGACTGAGCCCCCGTCCGGCCCCCGCCTCCCCACCCCGCCCGCGGGGCCGGGGGCTGCAGTCTCAGCACCCCCGGACCAATGCAAACGAAGCGCCAAGCTAGCAAACCAGCTTCCACTGCCCCTCCCGCCCTGCCCAGAGTGGCGGCGAACGGACGGGACGGGGGATGGGGTACCAAGGGGTGCAGATCTGGACCCCCCCAGCCCCAGCCTGTGATGAGCTCCCGTAAGCCGAGCGGGCATCAGCTGCCCTTCGGAGCCCCCCTTTGATGTGCGAAAACCCCTGAAGTCGCCTGCGACCGCCTCCCCACTCCCAACCCCGGAGAGGGCCCGGAGTCCTGGCTTGGGGGCAGGCCGAACCTCCGGAGCTGCTTCAGAACCCCGCGCAATGACCGAATGGAAGGGGCTGCGCGCCCGGGAGAGCTGGGGAAATGAGGCCGTCGTCCAGCCTCTGCCCAGACCACCACACACCGAGCTTTGTGCCCCAGGGAGCGGGGAGTCATCTGCTTAGGGAGGCGGCAACATAGAGGCAGGGGCGGTGGACAGGAGCAGGGATCCTCACGCACCCCAGCAGCCCCCAGGGAAGGAGGAGGGTCTGGGGAGCGTACTTTGGCCTCCTGAGGCCGGGAGCATCACCAGCGCCCGAACTCCGCCAAGTCGCCTAGCGCTCAAGTCATGGGCCCCGCCGGCAGGCCTGGGCGCTTTGTCCCTGGCCGGCCCGGGGATGTCGCCGCGAGTTGGACACGGAGCTTTGCCTGCTCGGGAAGCGCTGGCGGCCGTTGCCCGCCAGCCGACTGGAAGCTCGGGCTGCAGGCACCGCGCGTGCGGGCGGGAAGTTCCCACAGTCGAAAAGAGGGAGCGAAGTGTGTGTTCCAAACTTTCCACGGCTCCAAACTGAGCGCTTCCATTAAGAGAAGCGGTGTGCAGGGGGAAAAGCATTCTGGGTATTAGCATGCAAATGAACGGGCCCGGCTTCCAGCTCCGCTCGGGATTCCCACCGCCGCGCGCCGGGCGGGTGAGTGCCGAGCCTCGCGCTCCGGGGGCTTCTGGGCGTGGCGCCGCGGGAGGACCGAGTTCGAATCGAGACCTCCGCTCTCAGGATGTGTGTTGTGCCAGTCACTTAACCTCTCTGAGCCTCAGGTAAACGGAGTCAGTTTCTCAATATGTACACGGGACAGCAGCACCTGTCTCATGAAGTGATGAGGATTCAAGGTCTTGTCTGCACAGCACCCAAGTTCTGGGCTGGGTCTCTCCTTCATGGCTCCACCCTTCCTAGGGCATAGTAGGTGCCAAATGCCTGTTGGAGAGAATAAATGAAACTTTGAGGTTTGAGGTTAAGTTTCCTGGACTGGAGCCAGGCGGTCCGTGTTCTAAGCCCGAACTGACCCTGTCACCTAGGGCTAGTGCCTTAACTTCTCTGAGCCACAGCGCAGAGATTCTTGGCTAAATTGCAGCAGCCGGCAATTTCTGTGTTCGAGAGTGATGTTGGGAGCAGCGGCAAAGAAAGAGGAAAGGGATCTGATTTTTGAATGCCTACGGTATATAAAAATTCTCTAAGGTAGATAAAGATACTTCCATTCTACTGCTGAAGAAATTGAGGAAAATGAGTGACTTGCCCAATGCCACACAGTGGTAGAGCCAGAAATCCAACCAGTTAATGCAAGTGTGCCCCTTTCTTACCAGTGGCTTTTGGAACCCCTCAGTGGCTCCATATGAACCAGGAAGTGGCTTTCAGTCTGCCTTGCTTAGAAAACAGGGTACTGTGACTGGCTTCATCCCAGAGTTCACGCTGTGAAGATGAGTTCGCAGAGTGCCCTCAGGACCGTCATGTCATCCACAGCGCTCTGAGGACAAGAAGCTTCAGCCCCATTTTGCAGCGAGGAAGCCTGAGGCCCAGGGAGCTTGAGTGAGTGACCCAGGAGCCCACCATGGGCAAGTGGCCAGAGGCAGGTCGAGAACCCAGTTCTGACGCCAGCTGGGAGCCCTTTCCTGCATGTCACCATGGCAGTGTGATTGTGTGGGAGGCCTGTAATGATCTCTCAGCTTCATCCCTAACTCCACCTTCCCTCTTGCCCATAGCTTAGGCTTCCTGGATTCCATGACTTCAGGTGAGGCTGCAAGTCACGTTTTACAGGGCAATTTTAAAAGTGTGTAAAGTGTGCTTATACATTCACAATGTTGTGCAAACGATACCTCTACCAAGTGCCAAAACATTTTCATTGCTCCAAAAGGAAAGCCTCCCCATTTAGGCAGTCACTCCTCCCTCCAACCCCTGGCAACCACCAGTCTTCATCCTGTTTCCATGGATTTACCTGTTCTAGATATTTAATGATGGAATCTTACAATATTTGATCTTTTGAGTCAGGCTTCTTTCACTTAGCATAAATTTTTTGAGGTTCATCCATATTGTATGTAGCACCTATCAGTACTTCATTCATTTTTGTAGCTGAATTCCATTGTATAGATAAACCACCTTTTTAAAAATTCATCCAGTGCTGAATATTTTGGCTATTGTGAATAGTGCTGCTGTGAACATTTGAGTACACATATTTTCAGTTCTCTTGGGTATATATACCTGTCAGTGTAACTGCTGGGTCGTAGGATAATTCAGTTAACTTTTTAAGGAATCACCACAGTGTTCTACAGCAACTGCACTATTTTACAATCCTATCATACACATTTTTTTTGGTATCATTAATGTACAATTACATGAGCAACATTATGGTTACTAGACTCCCCTTATTATCAAGTCCCCACCACATACCCCATTACAGTCACTGTCCATCAGCGTAGTAAGATGCTATAGAATCACTACTTGTCTTCTCTGTGTTATACTGCCTTCCCATACACATCTTTTGATAAGAAATTTTAGAGCTGATTAAGCCCCCTATTTTATGAATGAACATGCTGAGGCCCAGAGAGATTAAGTGACGTGTCCAAGAGTCCAGACTAGAACCAAACTTTCCTGAGCCCCTAACCTACCCACTATGAGCCTCCCACCCTTCTTCAAAGACCCAAACTGCCTGCCTGAGCACTGATTTGACAAGCCTGTCCAGTTAACAACTGAGTTAACCGTATTTATGAAGCTCCTTCTCTTCCCTCAACACCTGTTGAAAGAGCCCACCACCATGTTCCTACTTTCCAGGCCATTCCTTGAAAAGATGCAGAGCCAGCAATCCCTGCGTCTGCCTCCTGCTGGGCCCTCTTCTGTTACCATGGAAACCACGCACCTCTGTTTTGGTAGGGCACCAGTTGGACAGCAAATTGAGGGCATCCTTGTCTCCCAGGCTTAGTGGAGGTGTCAAGGTTATTTGCTCACTAGATCCATATTGAGCACCTACTAAGCACCAGGTTTTGGACTTTTTGTTTGCTTGTTTTAGATACTAGGGATGTAACCGTAAACAAGCTAGACCATGGACTGTGCTGTGCCCTCAAGCCCACAGCCTCAAAAGAAACAGACAAAAATCAAGGAAATAAAAGGTGCTTCTCCTGGCTTTCCTCCCTAGTTCTTCAAATTCCCCCATCCTTCCTGGCTCTGCTCAAGTTCCTCTTCCCCTGGGGCATCCTCTCCCGCCAGCACAGATCCACGTCAGAGCTGCTGTCAGCTCTCGGGGTGCTTTTCTTAACCTGATTGCAAAAGTGATATGTGCATTGCACAAAATGTAGAAAATATATGAAAACACACACGCAAAATAAAGATCCTGTAGAGTTTCACCACCATTTCCTTCTGGTCTTTTTCCTTTTCTACATACTTAAAATGTTGCTGTTTTTAAAACATAGTTGGGCCCTATTTTATAGACTACTTTATAATCTCGTCTCACAATAGTGTAGTTTCTTCCCAACATGTTTCAAAGTTCCCTCAGGGCAGGGATGGGGCCTTGATAACTGCACACAATTGTTGAACTCTTTTAACTGTGCAGCCATGGTAGTGAGAGTGTTAACTTGGCTTACCCTCTGTGATTCTCAGAACAGCCCTATGAGGTACCTACTCTGGGATTCTCACTTTACAGATGAGGAAACAGGAATGGCTAGGTGAGGAAGAAAAAGGGACAGCACAGAGCATGCGTAAGAGTGGCATCTGGACTTCCATCTGCTCTTGGGACCTTCCCCACAAACCCGGGCTGCCAGGCTTTGTCAAGCAATTGGCCACGAGCCAGGGACCCAGCGAGAGGAGGCCATGGAGGGTAGCACAGGAGAGAGGCACCTTGTTTCTGAAGGTCTAGGAATCACCCCACTCGCCTTCCTGGGTTTGCTTAGAAGGCACATGATGCCAACTGACCTCCTTCACTGACAGTTTTCAAGCTGGGCTCCTTAATAACAGCTGTGACGCGATCATTCATGGGGTAATCACGGCACCTCACGCAGGGGCAGAGCTCACTTAATATGTGAGGTCAGCTTCCAGCTCTGCCCCTTGCTGACAGCATAGCTTTGGGTGAACTGTGAGCAGTTTCTTTAGTCCTCACAACCTTCCTCTGAGGGTAGGATCATTGCCCCCTTGTTACAGGTTAGGTAACTGGGAAATATGCTGGTTCATCCGTGCCTGCACCAGTTGAAGGTGGGGTCTCCCTGACTCCAATGAGCCAGACCTCCCTGACTCCAGGGGCCAGGCTCTTTCCACTGAACCCTGGGCCTCTTTTCTTTCTTGATAACTGTTTCCTTTGTGACTGGAGAGAGTGTGCAAATCATCTGTCTGTTCTGGAAGCCCAGCTCTTTGAGCTTCATCAAGGATCCTGCAAGCAGCAGAGGCCGAGGAGTTTCTGCCTCCTGGCCCCACCCAGGTTATCTCAGCCCTTCTTTGTTGTGGTCTTTGGGGACTGACAGGGACCCGTGGGCCACTCTTTATCATTGGCCATGTTTTCAGCCTCTGTGTCTCCAGCAGGACCTTAACTATCTGTCAGTTAATCAGGAACAAAGAAGGAAGGAAAAAAATCCTCATACGCAATTGTTCTATGTTTTTTATATTCAGATACATGAGGATTTTCTTTTATCTTCCTGATTAACTGGTAAGAGAGTTAAGGTGCTGCTGGTGACATGGGGGCAGGAAACATGGCTGATGATAAACCATGGCATACATGCACACACACATATGCACACCACATGTACTTGAAAGGCAAATGGCCGGCTGAAGAAGATTGGCAACATCTGACAGGGCAAGAGTTAAGATCCTTAATATAGAAAGAGGTCTTAGAGATCATTAAAAAATAAACACCCCCAAATGTAAGGTATGCATTTTACTGCTTTTTAAGCATTCTGTAAATTTGAATTTTTTCAAAATACATAAATTAAAAAATTCTCCACTGCACAACATTGTGAATGTACTAAATGTCAGTGAATTGTACATTTTAAAATGGTTAAAATGGTGAATTTTATATATGAATTTTACATCGATTAAAAAATTTTTTTTATTAAAGTATCATTGATGTACAATCTTATGATGGTTTCACACAAACAATACTGTGGTTTCAACATTCATCCATATTATCAAGTTCTCACCCCCTCTGTTGTGGTCACTGTCTATCAGCAAAGTAAAATGTGATAGAGTCATTACTTGTCTTGTCTGTGCTGTACTGCCTTCCCCGTGACCTACCTATACTGTGATTGTGAATTATAGTGCCCCCAACCCCCAACCCCTCCCTCCAAACCCACCCTCCCCTGCCCCCACCCCTTTGGTAACCACAGGTCCCTTCCGGTGTCTGTGAATCCACTGCTATTTTGTTCCTTCAGGTAATTAGGTTCTGTTTAAATGCAGCTTCCTCAAGAAGGTTACCCTAGACAACCTAAGTCGTTAGGTCCTGTTAAATTTCCAATGCAACAGTGCCCTAGACTTCCCCTTTCCTTCCTTTCACAAGAGCTCAGACACCAATACTTCTCAAGGTAATAATTACCTTTTAAATTACCTTCTTTCCCTCTAGACAGAGGCTGCGTGGCAGCGCCCCCTACTGACGTGTCCCCACTGCATCTCCATTGCTCAGCACAATGAGTAACACTCATAATTATTTGTTAAATGAACACATGCAAAAATCCTTTTTTTGGTTGTCAAATTACCAAATATTCTGTTAACTGCCTTCCTGGTTGCCAAGGGCCTGGAAGGACCTAGTGTTATACCCCACTGCTGGGGTGGTACAACGGTGCAATTTTTTGGAAATCCATCTGGCAATATGTATTAAAAGCCTTAATATACTTACTTTTCTGAACCAGCAATTTCGTTTGTAGGACTCTGATGCAATAAATAAGCACAGCTGTGCTTCAAGGTGTAGATTTAAGAACGCCCATTAGAGCGTTGTGTCTGATAACGGAAACTGGAAATCAGTTAAACGTCCAATAGTGAGGGTCAGTTGCCTGAACAAAGGCGATGATGGTTGAGTCGAGTTAAGCTTTTAGCTGAAGTCCAACCAGCAGCTCCTTCTGAGCCCTTTGTTTCAGCGTAACCAGACTGTGAGAAGCCCGGATGGCCCCCCGGTCACCATTCCTGTTCCCCAGCCCTTGGCATGGGACACGGAGCCGGGGCACATCACCAGTACTCAGTACACTTCGTGTTTGTTGAACTGAACTGACCTCAGGGAGGGACCCCAAGCGTGTGGGCAGGGATGACTTCCCGGGGATGTCCGTGCTGGGCCTGTGTCTCAGGCTTTTCCCAGAGCACTACCCTTCCCCGCACCTCAGTTTCCAGATTTTTGGGCTGCCTCAAAACTGGTAGCTCTCATGACTTGCTTTGGGGGTGGTTGGCCTGGCTTGACTGCAGCCAGATTCCACACAGACTGAATCTTGAACTAGCGCTGGTCTTTGGGTTATGTAAGATGAAAGAGTCTATTATTTTCACTTCTAATGTTTATTCTTTCATAAAGTGTTATTTGGATAATGAAGAAAAACAGAAGGAAAAAGAAAAAAAAGTTACCCACAGGCCCACCACCCAAACAAAAGTACTAAAAAGGTATATTTTTGCGTAACCTTTTTTTGTTCCCATTTTTTCATTATGGTAAAATACACATAACATAAAATTTGCTATCTTAGCCATTTTTAAGTTTACAGTAGTTTTATTTATTAACGTATCATTAATGTACACTCTTACGAAGGTTTCACAAGAAAAACAATGCGGTCATTCCATTCACCCTTGTTATCGAGTCCCCCCGCCATACCCCATTGCAGTCACTGTCCATCAGTGTAGTAAGATGCCACAGAGTCCCTATTTGTCTCCTCTGAGCTACACTGTCTTTCCCATGACCCCACACACACCATGTGCACCAGTCATGATACCCCACAATCCCCTTCTCCCTTCCCCCACCCTTCCCCTTTGGTAACCGCTAGCTAGTCCCTTCTCGGAGTCTGTGAATCTGCCTCTATTTTGTTCCTTCAGTTTTGCTTCATTGTTATACTCCACAAATGAGGGAAATCATTTGGTATTTGTCTTTCTCTGTCTGATTTATTTCAC